TCACATCTCTAAGAGTATATTATGAAGGAAGAGGTGTCTGAACTTGATAAATCCAAAAAGAACACACACACACCCCCACCCACCCACAGACACACCTTGATAGATACAGTCCTTAACCCTGAACTTCAAACTTCTTTAATGATTTCAACAAATTCAGACAAGCAACATCCTTGCATCTTAATTGAATTGAAGGGGGGAAAAATAATTCCAACTTAATAACATAACAATATTCCGACCAAATCAAGAAACAATTGGATTGGAATCCCATATTAAACAATAACATAATCTACAAAAAAAGAAGATTAATACACATTCTCTTCTTTCGCTATGTACACAATAACCAAGGCAGAATAAGTATTCATACACACAACTCATGAAAATATGCTCAATTCCCATCTCTCTCAGAAGTGTTTGCAGTTTCAGAACCTGATGTTGAGGACGAATTATCCCCTGTGGAAGAAGAGAAGAGGCCATTGAATGGCCATGGGATCATGAACCTTCTCCCGCTTCCATTTCTACCATCGCCATCTCCCTCTTCACCACTCCCCTCACCATTGTTATTGCCCTCTCTCTCACGGCTTGAGGACCTTTCAGAATCAACCTTCGATTCATCAGCAGGAAGTTGGTATCTACAGACTGGACAAGAACTATGGAGCTCAAGCCATGTCAATATGCATCCACTATGAAATTTATGCTTACATGGCATTTCCTTTGCTTCACCACCAATCTCGAAATCATCCAAACACACTGAACACTGCAAGCTCTCCCCTATCTTCACTGTAGGTATTGCTTCAACTGCTTCCTTCTGTGCTGGTGGAGTCCCGTACCTATTTGGATCATTCTCTGCCAAATGCTGAAGCAACAAATCTAGTCCAGGTCCAATGAAATAATCACCGAGAGACCCTATTTGACCCTGATTCTGTCTTTGATTTGAATCATATGAACCTTGAACAAAGATTGTCTGATTGAGAGGGTTGATCAAGATGACACGCTCCCTTTCTCTATCCCTATCCCTTTCGGTTTCAGGATTCTCAGATTCAGCTGCCATTCCAGCTCGAATGCCTTGAAGCATTTGCAAAATTGTAGCCGAACTTCTTCTTCTCCTCCTAATAAAGGATTCCAGTTCTCTATCCAACTCACTATCTACTCCACGAGGTGCTTCATCATTCTCATTATCATCATCTTCTTCCTCAAATTCCACCCTCCTAAGCCTTCTTCGGCGCTGGGGATTGTTCATCATGCCAAGCAAGATTGGGGCCCAAAGAGAGAGGGCACGCTCCGATCCAAAATCAGAATCAGGCTCTTGATTTGTGCCACCTCCCATTTCTTCCAAAAATCCACTTTGACAAAATGGGCATTTGATTTCAACTTCCATGATGGGGTTCACCATCTGATCACACATGTAACACCAATACCTTGCCGCTACTGTTTCCTCCATTATTTGTTCTCTTCCTCAACCAACCTTTTTCTTCCTGTCACAACCAAAAGCAAATCAAAAACAACCAACTCAATCAAAAACATCAGTCCCCCATTTGGTCCAGATGATAAAATTCCAATATGATCAATGAATTTCCAATCAAATAAGAAATCAACAAGAAAAAAAAAAAAGGAAAAACTTGATCTGAGCTGGGGGACAGATTTCCAAAAATTTTAACTAGAAAACGAAAGACTCCAGCTCGGGAAGAGAAAAAAAAAAAGGAGTAGAAAAATCCAAGATTAGAACTGAAAAAGATCATGAAAAAGTAAAGACACTACTATTCCATTTTCCCAGAACAGATCAGAATTCTAACCACCTACAACCAGCCAAAAAACTGAACCAATCAACCCAAAAGAATAACAAGAGCTAGAAAGAATTCTTTGTTCTTTTTCTTCCTTACCAAAACCACGAATACAGAGAGAGCGAAAACAACAGCAGCACCTTGTCACCCACAACTTGAGTTTCAAACAACAAAAATCTTGAGGACCCAGAGTCTCCAAGGAGCAAAGTAGCACCACAAAATTTTTTTATTATAAAAAAATCTCAGAACAACAGATCTCTATCCTTTAAAGAAGAGGGTTTATGATGGCGATACAATTTGTAGGAAAGTAACCTTAAAAGCAGAGGTAGGTAGAAGAAATTCCTAAAAAAGAAGAATCTGAAAGGATGATGATCAGCAATGGGTTGCAAAACTTTCGTATTCTTCACAGAGTATTTGACCCAGAAACAACCATCTCAGATTAATCATCAAGCTTCATATTTGACCCGGAAAATTAAAAAAAAAAAAATTGATTATTTTATTTATTTCTTGTTATATATTATTGTCTTATAATGGAGATAAAACAGAATGAAAGACGTAAACTTTACCAGAATTCTTGAGGAGGAGGAGGAGGAGAGATTGAGAAAATTGTACCCCCCAGGACTCAACAGTTGTTTTCTTTTTCTCTGTAATTTCTCCTTGTTTGTTTCTGGAGAGAAATGAGAAGAAAGAAAGAGAAAATTGTCCTAAAAACAGCTCTGATTTTCCTGAATTAAAAGACAACCCAAACGCGTAGTTCTTTTGGGCATTGTCGTGTCCACTCCATTTTTTTTTTGGCTGTTTTGTTTTCTTAATTTGGTTATTATTATAAATAATTAAAATTTTAACTTATATTAAAATATAATTTTCTTCTTCTGTGATACCCAATTGCCAAGTCCTTAAATTTAATTTATACCCAAATCCAGTCAAATCATATTCTATTTGTGTTTAACCCTTTGTACCAAATGGACCTGGGCCGGACCATATTCCCAATATAATATTTTTGTGTAATAAAATTTCTTGATGTATATAATGCAACAATCAACAGAAGGAACCTAAAACATCATGTTTGGCACTCCTGATATTACTATACCATTCACTTCTCAACTCTTAAGCCAGGATGATCCAAACAAAAACATTAACATTTACTACTGCTATGAAGATAGTGCAACTACAATCTTATGAAGATTGCAAGATGTCTTGGGATAGATGAAGTTCTCTTCCATCATGTTAGGAAGAAATTAGTATCAATCAACTGATCCGTTAGAAGGCAAATGTGTTTTGAGTGGAGATGTTTGTGAAGTTATAACAATATTCGTGTCATCATCAGGATTGTAGTCTTTGAAACCAGCTATCCTTCCAAGCTCCTCCACTTCTTCAATCACATTGTCAAGCCTCGCCACCATCTCCACCAGCAAAGAAGCAAAAGCAGCTAAAGGGAGCGCCTCCGAGAACTCAAAGCTCGTCAGGGCCATCTTGCTCAGCTGTGGCCTCAGCGTCTTCCGCTCTGCTTGCTCCGATGCCCGTTTGTTGGATTTCCATTCTAGCAATGCCGAACTGTCCGTTTTAACGCTTGAGAGTGATACTCCTTGTTGACCCCTTTTGCGTGTTTGATCTGACAAAGTCTGTGCTACTGCTGCCAAGCCAGCTCGCTTGTTGGTCGCCGACTGATTGGTTTTGGATCCCAGAAACAGCTTTGGTTGGGATTTTACAGCAGTGTTTAGATCCTGTAATGCCTCGTGGAGATGATCGGAGAGTATCTCTGGTGAGCAATGTTGGCGGTTTCTTATGCTTGTTGCCAGTTTCATTAGTACCTTGGTTACTTCGCCAGCTAATCGAATGCATGGATCTTTGAAAAGAGATCGAACAGATGGTGGAGTCTAACAAATCACATATTTGAGAATAAATTTTTAACTAGCTAGCTAGAGTAATTTACTTATATTCATAATACAAGTTTACGCCCTTGAAAATCTTTAGACTATCATTGTTACCTGAATTTCAGTTTGTAAACATCCATGCAGCGCAACTACAGTGTAACCAAATTGGCGAAGAACAGCTCCCAATTTCACATATTGCTGCCATGGAAATCGGTAACAATGTCTAGAGTGCCTAGGCTCCCAACTCGCATGCAACGCCTACATTTTCCACGAACTAGTAAACGAACACAATCATATTATCCAACAACTAATTAGTTTCTAGGATTATGTTATTTTAAGTTTATTTATGATTCGTTAAAACTTTCAATTATGTTACTCGTGGTCTCATAAACTATTATTAATAAAATGCTTTTTTCAAATGAGATGAGATAGGATTTGAAATAAAAGTATCATGTCATCTGAGTTACCTATCATAATTTAATTCTATATTAATAAGCAGTAAAAATTAAGAACTTACTAAGGTTTCATCAGTAGATTTTGAGTCCAAAACCGCCTTGTAACCTTTGTAGATGGGATCTTCAGTTGATGTGTCCTCTGGTACCTCCTTTTGATTATCGCTGAAGTAATCATTCACACATACTGCATCAATAAAACATCTAAGTGAGATTTGATATTTTAAATATATACTTTGGGAAAATTATAAACTGAAAGACAGATAATTGGTGAGTGTGTGTGCGTGTGTGTGTGTGTGTGTATACCTTCAATGGATTTAGCAAGGCCTTCAAGCTTGGCAACAGTGTAATTGTGGAGATCTTCTCCAGACCAAATTGGGAAAATCAAAAGAGACATGAAAAGGCAGACGGCGCAACCAATGGCAATGGTATAGAAGCGATCATGTGCAATCTTGAGTACATTGTTGACACGGTAGCTGGACACAGTTATCAGATTGAAGGTCAAAAGGAATATCACTACTCCATAGTCATAGTTCTTCTTTATGTAGGGGAAGAATCTTATGTATGTTGCTGCACCTCCTGCAATTCATTACATTAACTACTTATATCCCAACATTCAAATTGTCACGATATATAACATATAAAGAATTAAATTCTAATTTTGATTACCTATGAAGAAAACAGCAGCTCCAATGAAAACAGCTCTGAAAACTTTCCCGGACTCATTGGCAATATACTCAATTAAAAAAGCCAAGGATCCGGCTAACACCGTCCCCAGTCCCCTGTTAAGCCCTTTGCATAATGTTGCTCCTGCATTTAAACATGCATGCATTTAATTAATTTTTTTAAGGTCAGTAAATACTTAAATCTTAGATGGAAGAATATGTGTATATACATATGATGTAGTTACCTGCGGTGAACTCAAGAACAACAACGACAGTCATGACAGCCCAGATAGCACTTTGTCCAACACCTTTGAACAAAGGCTCAATCAGGTACAACAAAGAGACAAGTGTCAGAGAGAAGCCAACTTTCAACGAATGAATCACTCTTCTCGGATCTTCTCTACCAGCCTTCCAGACTTGTCTCCACAAAAGACCACTCCAACTTCTCATCCTCTCACTCAAAATTTTCTTCCATTTTTCTACCTTACTATCGACAACAACGCCGCCTGTCTCCATGCCCCCGTGCGCTTTATCACACAGTATCTTGCTTGATCTGCTCTTCTGTATGCCCAAAATTTATTTGCAGTTCTAATTTTGTCTTATATAAACATTGCAGCTGAATTTATGTGGCCTCCAGGTAGCAGGCTGGTAGCTAAACTACTTTACATGAGAGGTCATAGTTCATGCAGTTGCTATATTCACATGCCTTACATGGTAAAGCGCACGAGATAGATAGATACATGTTCAATAAGTCAACACTCTTTAATACTGGCGAACAATATAACTAGTTTCTGGAATAAACAATTGTCTCCGTCACATAAATAACAATGAAAACATCCCACATATTCAAAAGAAGTAGCTGCCATATTTCCATGATACATATTAGTCATTCATCCAAAAATCACCGTCCGTGGTTGCCTCCTCACGATTTCAATCCACAAGATTGGATTGGCTACTTAACAACAATCTATATACCAAATCCATGCATATTTATCAAAACGCAATCAGTAATATCATCTAGTTTACTTCATATCTCATATAAAACAGTACTTTAGTTCCTAGAAAATATGCACCCACAATGAAATTTATACTTACATGGCATTTCCTTGAGTTGGACACCTATCTCAAACCCATCGAACAGACTGAAAACTGCATGCCATCCCCTTATCTTCACTGTAGGCACTGATTCAACTGCAACTGCTTCCTTTTGTGGTGGTGGAGTCCCAGTGCCTATTTGGATTATTCTCCGCCAAATGCTGAAGCAAACAAATCATCGGGAGACCCAATTGGACCCTGGTATGCTTCCTCATTGTCATTATCCACCATCTTCTTCCTAAATTCCTCTCTCCTAAGCCTTCTTCTTCTGCTAGGGGAATTGCTCGTCATGCCAAGCAAGAACAGGGCCCAAAGAGAGAGGCCAAGCTCCCATCCAAAATCACAACGAGGCTGTTGACTCGTGCAATCGCCCATTTCTTGAACGAATCCACTTTGACAAAATGGACGTTTGATGTCAACACATGTAAAACACCAGTACATTCAATTTCTCCGGAAGAGACGATAATTCTAACAACTTCTTCGACGTCCAACAAAAATTACGGAGAGCTAGAAATGATTCTTTTCTTCCTTACCAGAAACCGAGAAGACAGGAGAGAGCGAAAACAAGAGCAACACCTCGTTGAGAGAGTTTCGAACAAGAAAAGTATCAAAAACATGATAATCAAACTTGCTGAAGACAGTAATTTAAATTAATTAGTATAATTA